ATGCGAGTCAAGTTCAAGTCTGACTCGGAGCCGAACTTTAATTAAGACTCGACTTTTGGAGTCGAGTCGAACCGAACCGAACTTTTAACATCCCTATTAACAATGCATTATTATATCAGCTAATTTGTGGAATTGGGTCTGAATTAGATTTCTAAATTTTACAATCGTTATTTTAGTGATGTTCGTATCAAATACAATTTAAAGATTAGTTATAATAGTTGCACCTTAAATTATCATTGATATGGATAATAAAAAGATGTACTGTATGTACGTACATCAAACGGCGATTCTGAAATTTAGGGTTTGAATTATATCCTAATTTAGACTCAATTCGCAAATTATGCAATACAGTAGTACGTGTTATCGTTACCTGTTACGTATCATTCATAAAAAAATGGCATTAAAGGGTATTACGACTTACAATTTTACGAAATTTATTAATAATTAATTCGGAATATGCCGTAATGGTGTAACTATATAATTCAGTAGCTACAACGACAGCGATACTCAATTGTTATAAAAATTGGTTTTTATTATAGTGCACTGTTCTATATATGATTGCGTTTTCATGTATATTATGCATTGTGTTATAGAGCATTCATTTAAAATCTTCACATTTGTCAGCATATTTTAAGTAAAAACAATTAGTTGCCATTTTTCTTTCTACTCGAAAATCACCATTACTTATCTAATTCTCAAGAGTACGATCTTTATCTTGTTCACATGTTAGTGAAATGCATGACTGATAATAGATGCCTTACAAATTAAAGTCATGTGAGAAGTCTAGTCAGGTCACGTGGGGTTCGTCAGGCCGAGTATCTGATATATACCCAGCCAAGAAGTGAGGGAATGCCCACTGAGCATGATGATGAATCTTGGGTGTCAACTGAATAATATTTGCAAACACGGCGAAGATCGGCATCATGAGAAAAACACAATTAAGGTTCAAATAATTAACTTCCGAACCTGGTAAGAATGATATAATTAACAACGCCAAGCAAGATTTAACCTAAGTATAGCTAAGTATACGTATTAATAGTGATGTATATCTGCGTTATAAGTGGTTAGCTAATTAGCGACTTTGTCACACCTTCACACAGCAATGTATTCATAACAATGCCAATTCCCATCTAAAAAAAAAAAAAAAAAGGAACTGAATAATTGGATAAAAAAAAAAAGGAATTAGATAATTGGATAAAAAAAGGGGGATTGGATAATTGGATAAAAAAAAAAAAGGAATTGGGAATTAGTAATTGGATAAAAAAAAGGGAATTGGATAACTGGATAAAAAAGTGAATTGGAAAATTGGATATAAAAAAAGATAATTGGATAATTGGATAAAAAAAAAAAGGGAATTGGATGATAATTGGATAAAAAAAAAAAAGGTTGGATAAAAAAGAAAAGAAAAATTGGAATTGTATTTTGCAGAAATAATTCGAATCTTGCCATTTTCGTACTAACTGCTTATTTCATTTGTCGGCCAGCCTGTACGCCAAACACTTCCGCCGCCTATGGGATACCCCATTACTATTTTCTGGGCACATATCCCGTTTCAATTTTATTGTACACTAATTGCAACTGATGTATGCATTCTTGAAATAAAATTCACTTCCAGTGCATTATTCTAGATCATCCTATTATATCAAATATTTTTTGATATGTTTTTTATTTAGTAAGATTAACAGGTAATAATTCATTTTACGTATTTTCTAAACATAAAATTCGGTGCTGCTCACTTCACCGACAATCATTTTACCGAAAGTTCGCATAGCCGACATCACATAGGGCTATGATTGGCGTTTTTTACAGGCAGGTAAATATTTTTAGTAAATTGTCACCTGGAGTGATGTCGGCTAAGTGATCTATGAAATGATTATCGGTGAAAGGCGGATCCATAAAAATGTCATTGCAGTCCTTTTTTATTACGGCTGTTTCAAAAAATGTGGAGAATGATTTCCATATACCCATATAGGGAATGGAAATTCTGCTTAGTAAAAATTAAAAATCCGATTAGAGCGGGTCGTGAAACCTCTAGAAACTTGGATTCACAAAACGACTGTAACCAAATAAAGAACATTATACAATCGATTCTAAAAAAAACATCAACTTTTTCCAATTTTCAAACCACTATACATAAGCCCTATTGTTTTATGTTCTAGCGACTATAATACAGTAATAAATCACTGCATAGTCTCGCTTTTCTGTGTCCACGTGATTCTCATTTAAATTATCGTTAGCCCGATTTCCAAGGGGTGAATTGAAATTACCACTGGCATGCGACATTAGCGTTATGCAGCTATATTTTGAATAATATGTATTATCCAATGAATTTCACATAATTACTCAGTAAAAAAGTGATTAGGAGATTATCCATACTGTGCTATCTTACGTAAGTTAAGACAAAAACTACTCAACGTATGATTTTAATTTTGTTTACATAGTATACGCATATTAATTCATTTCGCATATGTATTTTCATCTGAGCCAAACTCAATTTAGAACCTTCTCTGATGGTAGTAACGGATTAATTGTGCGTAGATCAAAACACAGGAAATTTAATAAAAAAAAATCTGAAGTAAATTTGAATAATAAATACGTAAGTAGATTTAGAAATATAACAAAGATATAACCTTAGCATTTATTGTTAGAACGTAAGTGCGTACGTACGTATACAGAATACAGGAATATTATTCTAAATTTGGTTGGCAAAAGATGTGTTAATGCATGCATAAATTATAGACCATACATACAGTGCATACAGTACATGCATATATGTACGAATAAAATTTAGTCTTTAAATTATTATAATGTATGATAATTAAACTCCTTATCGAAATTTACCCGGAAAGGAATTAGTACTGCAAATGATAATATAAAATTAGTTCAATAGATAAAGAGAATATTTTTTTTAACCGAAAAAGGAAAAGATTTTTGTTTGCTAACCGATTCGATACTTCACTAATATTTCACGCATTGCATAAATCCATCGTCGCGCATTAAAATTTATAATTTTTACTTAATTACATATTAAAAAGTTTAATCTTAGCAAGTAATAATTTTAAAAATCATCGAACTTTAATCTGATTTTTGTGCTAAAGAGGCGGGTTATTCATAAAATACTTTCGAAATGCAATTTTATGAGATTGTAAAAATAAAATTTGTAACTACCTTAAATTAGAAAAAAAATTTACAACGAATCCTAATTTGTAATTAAAAAAATTATATGGCGCTTGTTTATAAAAATTTATTGTATTGCAGATTTGTGCATAGTCACTATAAAAATACTACGTATTTTCTTTAAATAAACTGAATTTGGAGCGAATCATTTATATTTAATAAATTTAAACTGGACTATAAAAGAAATTCATTCTCATGAATTTTGAATCAAAGTGCTTTTCTATCATATATTCTACAAAAACTCGATTAGAAAAGAATATTCACTAAAGTACTTTTATACAGTATAAACTAATCAAATAATAATAATAATAGTATAAATAATATGAATAAACGACTTTTTACTTTTTCCTTGTTTATTTTCCTTCTTTTTATTGTCATTAGTTCGGCTTACAATGACAAATCTTTAAAATACAATCCTCTCAATAAAAGACACCAACCCAAATGTCCTTGCGCTTTTGCAGAAGCAAAATTTGATGATAAAGTCAATGGTTTTATGATTTTTGCCCAAAAATCATGTAATAGTCTCATAGTATCAGGCATGTTCCGAGATGGATTAGTGGATCCAGAAAAAAATTGCTACTCTATCAGAATTAAAGATGTTAATGGTAAACTCAGAGACATTACAAAAGACTTGAACCTTAAATTTGTTAACAGTGGAACAGAACCTTTCAGTGCTGAGATTAAAGGCCTCAATCTCAACTGCGATGATGGCATATTAGTTGCTAACAAAGAATCTTATTCTTATTCAGAGAAAGAATCTTATTCAGGAAAACATTCTTACTCGGAAAAGCAAACTCAGTCAAAAACACAAGCTCATTCAGGAAAGCAATCTTACTCAGGAAAGCAATCTCAGTCAGAAACACAAGCTCATTCAGAAACACAAGCTCATTCTGAAACACAAACTCATTCAGAAAACCAAGGTTATTATTTAGAAAAACGAGATTATTTACATAAACGTAATAACAGCGCAGAATGTTGTATCTTTCAAAATGGTCAGGGTAATGGGAACGAATATGCCCTAGCTCCAATTCTCAGTATTTAAAGTAATTAACCTCTTATTTTACAAAAGTAAAACAGTTTTATTTCTGAGATGCAGTTGGTTTTTTTATTTATTTTTTTGAATAATATTGAAAGTTATAAACGATCAATTTAGATACTAAATCATCTTCTAAATATAATAGTTTAGTCACATCTCACCTTACACATATACAAATTTATTAATTATTCATATCAAATTTATAATTGAGACGTTATCATTATTTGCGAAAATTTTTTAAATTTATTGAACCTGAGATATTATTTTGAGAGAGTGATACGAAGTAATTCAATTTAGTTTTAATCGCAGTATTTTTAATATACAATATAGAAAATTTCAATAAAAGTCTTTAGAAAAGACATGATCACTTTATATTGATCATTTAAATGACATACTTATTTATCGTTTAGATAGTACAAATTTATCGTTTGAAATACATTCTATAATGCTTAAGAATTTATACCGCCATTACTGAACGTAATAAGAAATTTTGTTTTACTGGTGATAGTTGTGTAATACAGTAATAGCAAAGTTTGAATGCAAGGACACGAAAATTATGAGATTTGATTTAGCGAGATTCTTATTATTGGCAAACTACGTCAAATTACATGACAGATTGATAGCTCTCAATGAACTTAAATCATATAAAAATAACAATTTAAATCACATAATTCCATGTCCCTGTCTGAATGTAATAATGAAATGTATGTAAATATGATACGGTTCGTCTTTAATAACATAAAACCTGATGCAGTCTAATGCAGCTCATTGTAACCTAATTCTGGGTACGTGCATATATTTTAGCTAAAGTTTGAGGCTGCATTTTAAGGGGTGTCACATTTAGGGGGGTTGCATTTAGGAGTTTCGCTACACTAAAGATATACCATACAATAGAGACTGTTCTTTCTCTTGGGCATGAAAAAGACATCGCTTTTTATTTATCTTTTGACAACAAAATATAATAAATTTTATGGCTAATTCCGATATTGCCGAGATATAAAATAAATACTTTATCTTCGTTCACCACTTTTATAATAAGCGATTAAAATTTTACTATATCATATCAATACGTATAAAGATATATATAAAACTATTTCAAGCTTTCGGTATTATAATACAAGCTTAAATTTGAATTATACTATTTACATTGTCTAAATTTTAATTTTAATTTGTGAAAAAAAGACTACGTTTATGTGGAAAATTTTTCATTTATAACTTTAACTAAAAATCTTTTATGTTCATATGAATTATAAAAAAGTAAAGAAAGTTATTTCCATATTAAATTAATACAATAAACTTGGCACGCACGTACGGATTTATGTGGTCCCTCAAACTTGCACTTTATGCAAGTTTGACTCGTTCACACTTTGTCTTGACGCATGCTTTGTGTCATATAATCATTAAAAAAGGGTCATTCATGACTGATATTGTAATAATCATGCAAGTTGCTCATTTCATACGTTGTACATTCGAAAATTCCGAGTTATGTAAATTTCAATTATTTGCAAAAAAAAAGAATAAATTAATAACTAAAAGGGAAATTCTATTTTGTCCTGGGTAAACATCACCCGAAATATATACTACTAACATTATTCACGTGAATCTAATTGAGTGACTTCAAAATAGAATCTTAATAAAAAAAATAAAGTAAAAAAAAACTTTTACTACAATGGTCTTTGAGCTCATTTTCTGGAACATTTGCATATTTAAGTGTTATGCTGTAAGCTGTCTTAAAAAGTCTTTAGATGATTCTAAAAATAAAAAATTATATATAAAATACTTCCATAGATAATAAATTAGTAATATTATGTTTAAAAAATTTTGTTTTATAGTAAAATTGAATCAAATAATAATAATAATAATAATTATTATTATTATTATATTATTATTATTATTATTATTATTATTATTATTATTACGCATTATCATTATCATTATTATTATTATTATTAAGAAATTGACATTTTCACACTAATTTTTGGTAGCTAACTCTCTTGTAAATAATAAACTACGTGTGTTCATATATATTGTATATGTACTAAGATGAATATCAAGATATTTGTTGCTCAAGTTTAGAAATACCAAATCTCAAAAATATTTTCCGAAATTTGTCAAATCTATTATAAGAATTTCGTATAACAAGCAGTGGACTTATTTAGAAAATAGTGCTCTTTAAAATAGTGGTATGTTTCAAAAATAGCACGTTTCGAAATAACGAACACTTTAAATGCTAATCTCTTTAATTGGACTGATTGATTATTGACGTCCATCGATAATAAATACATTTTGTGTAAAAAAAAATCAATCAGATCTCAAATAAAGCACGTGTTCGTACTCAAAATAACATATTTAGAACAACGGATAATGTATAGCATGTACGTACAGTACGTACGTACTTGGCTTGGCGTGATATCTGATAATATTGCAAAGTTAATAAAATTCTTGAGCCATTGATTTTGCTGGCTTTGCTGAGTTTACTGTATTTATCATGAATTAATCAGACAAATCCCTAAGGCCTGTTGAAAGCTAATAAATAAAAAATTTAATATCTTTGATTTAAATAAGTAGTAGAATTACTTTATTGATAGAATTCCTTCGTTGATTTATTTTTTTTACGTACGTATGTTATCATTTAGTTACTGCATAAAACATATGTTATTAAAGGTTATTGACAAATCCGGTGTTAACGCATGTTTATTCAAAATTAAATTAATGCATAAACATATTCTATTTATAGGTTCGAAGCTTCAAGAATACTTGAAGTTTTTTTATTCATCTACTCTTCTTTAATTTACCTAAATTACTGCTTAACGCATAAATAAAGTCCATAAATAGTAAAGAGGCTTAGTTGTTAGATTTTTAAATAGTTATACCAAAAATGAACCTAGCAATGGATTTACTGTCCACCCCTTATCTGTTATTTGACCCCGTAACGGCACCTATTATTTCTATATTTGATAGCATTGATTCAACAAATTTGATTCGATACTCATCTTCCACATGATTTATTCATCAAGTATAATCCTGTGATTTTGTTAATTACAACGTTTCACCGCATTACATAATAGTTGCAATACGTATTATATATATTGGAGGGTAAAATTGCTTATCTTTGTCGTACTTATTCTTATGTACGTTCGTAATTATGTACTTAAATTTTCTTTTCCCTTCTAAAATTTTATCATTACCTAACGAATGCCTTTTTGAAATATTTAATAACCTTCGAACTTATCGTAAAAGTTTATTTTCATGTCTTCTCGTAAATCGTCAATGGTGTAGAATTGTTGTTCCAATATTATGGAGTGAACCTTCTTGTTATTTTGATGATAAAAGATTTATAAAAATTTGTCTTTTATCTTTAAATTCTGATGAACAAGCTCATTTAATTCCATATAAATTAATTTTACCAAATAATAATTCAAAAAAATTATTATTTAAATACACAAGTTATATTACTTCCATTTATAGTTGTTATTTAAACAAAGGTATCGAAAATTGGCTTAATCACAAAGGATATAGAAATAATGGATCTCGTAATGATTCAATAACTTATTCTAAAAATTGTGAAAAACTTATAGATGTTATTAAAAGTTCTTTAATATCAATGTTTTTACGAACAAGCAAAAGACTTAAGCATTTAAGTATTGATAGAATTATTTATGATAATATATCTGGTTTATTAATAGACGTTCTTTATAGAAATTCCACTATTATTTCTTTAAATCTTTATGATGATAAAATTGGTCCTGAAGGTGGAAAAGTATTGGCAGGAGCTCTTTACAAAAGCAATTCCATAACACATTTGGATCTTCGTTATAATCAACTCGGTCTTGAAGGTGGAAAGGCATTAGCAAAGTCCCTTTGCAAAAACACTACTCTAATCTCTTTAAATATTGGTCATAATCAACTTGGTCCTGAAGGTGGTAAAGCATTGGCGAAAGCTCTTTGTAAAAATACTACTTTAACATCTTTAGATCTTAGTGACAATAAAATTGGTGTGGAGGGCGGTAAAGCATTGGCTGAAGCTCTTTGTGTAAATACTACTTTGACTTCTTTAAATCTTTATTATAATCAACTCGGTGTCGAAGGTGGAGAAGCCTTATCAGAAGCTCTTTATGTGAACTCTACTTTAATTTCTTTAAATCTTTATTATAATCAACTTGGTATTGAAGGAGGTAGAGCATTATCAAGAGCTCTCTGTAAAAATACCACCTTAACTTCTTTGAATCTTGCGTTTAATTTATTTGGTCCTGAAGGAGGTAGAGCATTGGCAGAGCTTCTATGTAAGAATACTACATTAACTTCTCTTAATCTTAGTGGTAATAATATTGGATTTGAGGGAGGAAAAGCGTTGGCAGAAGCACTTTGCGTAAACCGTGCTCTGACTTCTTTACATCTTGATAATAATCGACTTGGTTTTAAAGGGGGTAAAGTATTAGCGGAAGCACTTAGTGTGAATACTTCTCTAACTTTTTTAAATCTTTCTTGTAATCAACTTGGATCGGAAGGAGGGAATGCATTGGCTGAAGCTCTTTATGCGAATACTTCGTTGACTTCTTTAAGTCTTTATTTTAACCAACTTGGTTTTGAAGAAGGAAAAGCGTTGGCGAAGGCTCTTTACAAAAATACCACTTTAACCACTTTAAATCTTTGTTATAATAATATTAGTTCCGAAAAATTAAAGATATTGAAAAATAATCTTTTTATAAATACTACGCTAACTTCTTTAATTATTTAGAAAAAAAAATTTATGTCTATTTTTCTTTAATAAGCTTTGTTGTAATTTTTATATACTATGTAATAATTAATAAATACTCTACTGCTAAAAAAAAAAATTTAAATTGACTTACAGTTTACTGTACGTATGTAATAAATGTAATTTTATCAAATGTTAATTATCCCCTATACCGTAGATCATACCAATCATCTTAATTAAAAATCACATCTTTAACCCAAAAATTGCTTATCGTTATGCAGTTGCGCAGTTATGCAGCAATACAAAAGTA